CCTGCTTGCCTGCTGCCTATCCATCGAAATCATGTGTTACCGTGGCGGACGACTCTGGCCCTGCTCCCATACTCCAAGTCCAATTAATAATCTCTGCCTCCCCGACATATGCGCTGCTGGTCTAGCCCCGCGTGATTGAAGGGACGGCTGAGCAAGTGTACCATGATGGAGAGCTTCCCTCATGCCCCAGGCGATCCGCGCCTGGAGGCGACAACCCGCCCAGACGACACAGATTCCATCGACAGTACTCGGGCGCGAATGTTATGGGCCAACAAAGGCCCAACCCAGGTGGTGTTTTACGCCCCGAAAGAGCGATTCCGCCTGGGTTATTTCGATGTGATGTGCCTGGTCATCAATCGCACCATCGGTGAGCCTCTTCATTTCCTCTTGTATCACAAGTGACGGGATAATCAAATGATCGGCGATGATCTTCAAATGATTTATTTGTCGGGTGCGGTGTACACATTGGCGTGTCCATGTGAGAAAGCTGCGGTCGCTTCTGTCACTTGCGGATGAGAACAAACTTCCCTTCGTACTCTTCTCCTTCCGGTCTTTTTTCTTTATCACTTCGTCTTTTTTTTTTCAGAATTCCCCTTAGATGATGCGGGACTCTCTTCACCTCAATTAAATCAATGGCTCATAGAGATGACTAGGTACTGGCATCTTCAACTCGCCCCAACGGGTCATGATTCACACTAGATCGACCGGCGCCTCACTCCTGCTCTGGTTCGTCGGCATCATTTACTGCCTCTCCGGCCTCCATGTCTACCTCGAGTACGGTCTCAATATCCCGCGCTATACGATCGATGGTGTTGAGCAGCCTGTGCCCCGGAGCGGCGGTGACCTCAACTACCTCCAATATATCTACCGCAAGCCGGCCTACCGCAAAGGCACCGTACTTCTCAGCACGTGCATTTTCGGCATTGCCTTCATTGTGCTTGGAAATATGGCAGGCAACTCCATCAGCTTCGCTATTCGTGTCATGAGCGCTGCCGGCAACGAAAACCCCGACAACGGGACGGTTCGCGGCATCGCCATAGCTATTGCTATCATCACCTGCTTCATCCATGCAGTCTCTCGCCGCTTCGGAATCTGGCTCAATAACTTTCTTGCTGTCGTCAAGGTCTGCATCCTCCTGCTCGTCATCATCACCGCCATCGTCGTCGGCGCAGGCGGCCTCAACACTCCCAACGTGCTGTCCGAAAACACCAGAATCGACAAGGCATTTGCTGGGAGGTCAACCGATCTAAACGATTACTCCCACGCTTTTTTGGCAATCATCTTCAGTTTCTCCGGCTTCGAGCAGCCCAACTACGTCCTCGGCGAAATCTCCAGGCCCAGACGAAAGTTCCCCGTCGCCAGTATCGTAGGTGTGACGACCATGGTGCTGTTGTATTTGGCCATGAACATCTCCTATGTAAGCAAACTTCCAATCTCAACTCTGTTTATTCTTTCTCGTGTCTCTAACGTGTCAAACCAGATGGTGGTTGTGCCCAAGGAAGAGCAGCTCACCGCACCTGGCGGCGTTGCTGAGCGCTTCTTCGAATTGACTCTCGGCAACCTTGGAACATCCGAGAACCAAATAGTCGGCAAGAGGATATTCAACGCGTTCCTCGCAATCAGCAGCCTGGGAAACATCATCGTCATGACCTACACGGCAGCCCGCGTAAAGCAGGAAATCGCCAAGGAGGGCATTTTGCCGTATCCCGCCTTCTTCGCGCAGAGCACAGACCTGTCTCTCGGCCGCTTCCTGCGGTGGATCCAGAAGAAGGGCTGGTTCAACACTCTCCTCAGCTCGCGATGGCTCTCGCCAGACTCGCACCGGGAGAAGACTCCTGTCGGCGCTCTCGTGCTCCACTGTGCCTGCTGCATGGTTCTGATCCTCGCCACTTGGGGATTGACGCCAACCGAAGCCTATACGATCCTCACCTCGATCAGCTCCTATGTCATCAACGGAGTTATCGGGACGTTTGTCGGCCTGGGGATCCTGATCTTGAGGTTTAGGGGGCCTCCAAGCGCCCCTGCGCCCCAGGCGGCGAAGCCCCTTGAACAGCCGACTACGAAACCCTCTTGGAAGCGTATGACTGGGAGACATTTCAATCCCGTTTTGAGTGTCGTGTGTGCCAGTCTTTATACCGTTGGAAATCTGTGGCCCGTGATTACCCAATGGGTTCCCAAGCGCGCGGATCCATCCACGGGGGACTCTCCCACTCCCGAATATACATACACGGCGGGAGTAAAGTCTTTTGTTATCCCTACCATCGGCTGGGGCGTCATCGGGCTGGGAGTGGCCTGGTTCCTCGGTTTCCTTGCTGTCGCTCAGTATAAACGATACAATTACCATGAGGTGTTCGTCGTTGACAAGAAGCCCGACTTTGAGAATGCCAGCAGTGGCACCACGGGTGATGAGAGTGCGGCGCGCGGTAGCAGTGGCTTGGTCATGGTCCATGAGACTGTGTACCTCAGCTGGGTCGGCAAGGAGACGCTTCGCCAGCGGAGGCCTGGTGCAGGGGCTGCAAAGGACGACTTTGACGGATCGCTGCCTATGCCTTCAGATCCCTACGCGGGCACAGATTTCAGCGGCCACTTCCACGGTCAGCAGGAGCGGCAAAGTCAATATGGTATGGAGATGGGACCCATGAGCCCGAATACTTACACCCAACATAATGCGGAGGTATCGCCTGGGTTCCGCCCTGCCAGTTTCCAGACATCACCAATATCACCAACCTCAAACGGCAACTTCCAGCCGACAAACTTCGGTGTAAGCAACGATACCAATCCTGCTTCATATCAGTTCCATGGAGCCCATCAGCAACGCCAACAGAGCCGCCCCACGAGAGGAACCAGTTTTGCAGATGTCCGATATCAACAAGATCGTTCATCTCAACGATACCCCACAGAACCCTCACTCGCTGAGCAGCCAGCTGTGGAACACGACGACTTTGGTAATGTTATTGGGGGCCGAGGTGTAGGGAGAATGTGAGGTGTTTCTTGTATCCGTATGGCGTTTTTAGTGTTGACCCAAGGTGGATTTATCTGCTCCATTTCAATGTTGTTTCCAGAAAACACTCGCTTCAATAAGCGAACCAAATATATATAGTATCATCGAACTTAGCGTATACCCAATATATTCACATCCCAGTTGTATAAACCAGAGGCATCTAGTTGAAGGAACACAATACCTCCTCTCGGGAGAAACATATATTCATAAGCTGAAGTATGCACATCTTGACCGCATCAACTCTACTCTGAGAATCTTACTTTTAAACTACGAAGAGATGCGTACCTAGTGGTCATAAGTGCTAGGTGAGATTCAATAACTTCCATCAGATTAATTGGTTCGTGAGATATCTACCGCTAGACAGCTTGCTTGTTGGCAGAAAAGACACAATGAAATGAAGTTGATACTCAGACAAAAAGCATTGAAATTCTACCAGAAATTCCACTAAAAGCAACCCAAACCACCTAGTATTCAGGCTTCTTGCCTTCCTTCAGAAGCTCCAAAATCTCTTGCAGGACTTTGCCCAATTCCACCCCAAGCCCTGCAGCCTCCCAACGCTCGGCATCCTCCGGGCTCATTTTCCCCAGCGGCATGGAGCGCTCCATGGATTTCTTGTCGATGACCAGCTCCGGCGCCGTAGGTGCCACGTTCATCCGCAGGCCCATCAGGATCTGCCTCAAGTGCCCGCCGGCCCTGCCACCGCCCCGCACGCCGTAGGTGACGACGGCGGCCGGCTTCCCGGACCATTCGTGGTAGAGATAGTCGAGTGCGTTCTTGAGGCTGGCGGGGACGCTCCAGTTGTACTGGGGGGTGACGAATATGAAGGCGTCGAACTGCTTGGCGGTGGCTGACCACTTCTGGGTGTGCTCGTGCGTGTAGTGCGGTGTTGGATCATCTCGTGGCAGCTGCGAGGGCACCGCGGGCTCGTCGTAGAGAGGGAGAGATTGTTCCGCCAAGTCTAGGAGAGCAAAAGTGGCATCTGTGTGATCACTTCCAAGCAGATCATAGACAGATTGCGTGACGAAGGGGTTGAGGCGAGGGGACCTCGTGCTGCAAGTGACAACGGCAATTCGATACATGGTGTTTTAAAAGGGTAAGATCAGTATGCTGAGTTTATCAGAGTAGTGGTTGGAGTGGATAGAAAGGTTGAATTGCTGTAGAAGCCATCACCGCGCCTTTTTATACTGGAAAGATATCATGGCAATGGAAGGGTTGGACAGAGGTCAGGCCGGCTCTTGCGGATATTGCGGCGGGATGCTCAGCACTCAAACATGTCACTACAGATTCCGAGATCTGGAATGGTCGTTCAATGAGAGCCGGCATGTTGGTAGCGGCTCCTGCGGGGGCATTGCGGATATTGCGACATCCTGCACTCTGACGGCGCGGCACCGGGCTTTGAAGGCTGATTTCCCTTCATGGTTACCGTCTGTTCCTTTCTCTCCTCGTAATCTCGTCTCCCGCAATATCCGTCATGCCCAGAAGAACTGCTCTGGCGGATCGCCAAATCGCCCCCTCAAACCGGATGCGAGCGTATGCTGCGTGTACCGAATGCAGACGTCGTAAGCGCAAATGCGACGGGGAAAGGCCATGTTCGTCCTGCAAGAATTATGGTTACAAATGCTCCCTTGTATCGACGAGCGAGGCCACGACAAGCAGCGGTGGCTCCGTTTCCTCTCGACCGACGCCTGTCGATACTACCGCAGCTCCATCGCAAAGCATTTCTTCTGAACAAGTCGTTGTCAGCAAGGAACGGGGACGTCTGGTTAATGCTCACAGTGCTGTGGCATATCCGTTTCTCGTAGGTCGGGGGCTGGATGCTGCAGAGCCCCCGAGACTGCATTCCTACGCCTGGAATCTCGGTCTCCAGCCAGAACGGCGAGGAACCATCGACGCCCAACTCTCCCAATACATCACATTAGAAGAATGCCGGCAGCTGTCTGCGATGTATTTCGAGACTGTCCATTCCCTTTTCTCGTTTCTGCGCCAAGATGATTTCGTAATGCGAATAGAACATGCCTGGCCCAACCTGGAGCAAGGCAGTATAAACTTCGCTGCCGTCGTCGCAGGGGTTGCAGCACTGGGTTCTTTCTTCTCCAGCCAACGCCATCCGCAGGAGGAGAACCTCAAGAAACACTGCGTCTCCATCCTTGAGCTGGCCTATTCGACGCCTGCCAGCGCCATCGACTTGGACTCTATCTCTGGGCAGATCCTCAGGACTTTATATGCTCGACTAACGACCCGGCCGGCAGTGGCCTACTTAGCAAGCCATAACGCAATGCACATGGTGGAAATCATGGGCTTGCATGCCTTGTTCTCTGCACCAAGCACACATAACCTCTCAGAGAAGGTCGGCCTCGGCACCGAAGAGATTAAAGAACGACGGATGCTCTACTGGACAGCGTCATTCTTAGACCACTTGCTGAGCATCGAGTACGGGATGACGCCGGTGGCTTTGTCGAAAATATCAAATGCCCACACGGCTTCCCATGAGGAATCCTCTAATGAGTACATTCTGTCATCTCTCACGAAGGCTCTAGTTTCCATACAGCAAGCCTCGAAAGATCCAGCAGGGACGACAATAATCGACGAGACCCTTCATCAACTTGGCCAAGTACCAAGCCCTTCGCCAATCGCCTCGTCATTCAAGGCTGAAGTGTGCCTATGCCTGCTCCGACAGTCCCCCATCAACCTACTAGCGCGCAATGGCAACCCTGCGAGCGTTTCGATCTTGAAAAAGGCCTTGCAGGCCATCCCCGAGCTCCTTCTCGCCAAGCAACCCTGGTGGTGCTTGTCGACTGTCCCATTCCAGACCGTTTGCGTATGCTTAGCGGCAGACACACCTCTATACCTGTCGCTTTTACCCGAAAGCATGGTCGCTCTGAGGGCCGTTGCTGACACCTTTGACTCGCACATGACACGGGAGGCTCTGAGGACAGCACAGCAGTTGATCGAGGCATCGAGGGAGAACACCATGTCCAAGCTGTCGTTCAAATCCTCGGCGCTGGGTGAAGACTCGGCGACAGCAAATACAGAGGCTACGTGGCTGACCGATGAGCAAGCGCCGGATCTTCTGGGAAGCTGGCCCCTGGACTTGGACTTTATTCCATACTTTGAGTAGGGCTCTAGTAGGAGCACAAATTAAGAGCTACGTTGGGATCCATGTTATGGCGGAGTTGATGAGAAAGCAGGATGTTGCGGTCACATTCGAGCCTAGAACTTTTTACACTTAGGGCACACACAAGATTACACATCAGGAAGTCGGTTACCATAATAAAGGCGTAGTATTTCAGGGTATAATAACTAGATGGACTCATCTACACTATATGCTATGCAGTGAAAAGGGGGAATCTCATAATTATGATCTCATGCAAAACATCAATTACAGTCCGGAAAACCAACACTCTGACCAGCGAGCCAGGCCACCCTATGCCTCGACCTGCTTGGAGGCGGCGGTCTCGGTGGGCTGGTTCTGGCCGAGGTACTCGGACTTCTTGAGCATGTTCCACTTGTCCTCGTCGGCGTCGAGGTGGCGGAAGGAGAACCAGAAGACGATGCCGCCGACCAGGGCGATGCAGGCGACGGTGGTGTAGTTCCAGACGAGGAGGGGGTCGCCGGAGAGGGGCACAAAGGCCTGGCCGATGGCGGCGGAGACGGCGCTCATGAAGAGGTTGACGCTCATGACGAGGGACTTCATGTTCTCGGGGGCCTTGGAGAAGGCGTACTCGTACGAGGTGACGTTGGTGAGGATCTCGGCGACACCGACGAGGATGTAGGGCAGGGACTGGGCCCAGACGTTGATGGGGGCCGGGGGGCAGACCTCGCCCGTCTTGGGGGACTTGCCGTCGGTGACGTACCAGCCGCAGTCGGGGTTCATCTCGTAGATGTAGTACTGCATGACGGCGGCGGCGACCATGGAGAGGGCGGCGACGATGAAACCGGCAGTCATGCGCTTGATGGGGGTGGCGGAGAGGCCGATCTTGCGGAGGCCGGGGTAGATGAGGTGGTCGAAGATGGGGACCATGATGACGATGGAGATGGGGTTGAGGTTCTGGATGATGTCGTTGGGGACGCCGTGGAGCTCCATGGTGCCGGCCTGGATGGTCAGGTTACCAGTCATCTGGTTGTAGGCGAGGAAGAAGACGGGCAGGAAGAGGAAGACCTTGCAGGCCATGAGACCACGGCGGACCTCGTCGACCCAGGCGTCATCGTAGGTCATCCAGGCAGGGCGCTCGGCAATGGGGATACCAGAGGGCTTGGCGACATCCCAGTCGAACTTGAGGGCCTTGGAGCGTCTGCGGACGAACCAGAACATGCGCAGGAACTTGGAGAGCAGGGAACCGGTGGGGGGGGTGAGCTTGTAGTTCTTCTTCTGGGACCAGAGGACGAAGGGGGCAGTGAGGAACAGGATGGTGGGGATGAGGAAGGCCAGCCAGAAGCTGTGAAGCTTCTCGACCCAGACCATGGCGATCTGTCCGGTGCAAGAACCCAGGTTGATACAGAAGTAGAAGTACAGGAAGACACGAGTGTTGGTCACGGCGGGGTCAACAATGACACGCTCGCCCTTGCGCTCCTCAACACGCATGCGGCTGTCTTCATTCTGCTCAGCAAGCAGGGGGGAGACGTTGGCCTTGAAGAAGCCGGTGCCCACACAGAGGCAGAGAAGACCAATGATGAAGGCAGCGAAGGCTCCGTCGGGCTTGACGATGACGTCGGGGATGGAAGAGACGACGAGGATAACGTGGGCAATGGTGGAGATACCAATGGCCAGGTGAAGAGTCCAGAAACGACCCATGCGTGCATCAGCAATCCAGGCACTACGGCATGTTAGTCAGTGAATCATTCTGGTGCGAGATGGTGAAGAGGAATGCTTACCCGAGAAGAGGCATAACGTAGGCGAAGAACTGGTTGAAGAGGGTCAGAGCCTGGGCGGCTCTGGCACCCATGCCCAGAGCACCGGGCTTGCCATCGGTGATGATGGGAGAGCCGGTCATGGACCCATCGGGGAGAGGGTTCTTGATGAAGTTGGTGTAGAGGACCGAGGATCCGTAGTAGGAGAAACGCTCGCACAGCTCGACGAAGGCGATCGTCCACATGGACCACTTGATGGGGCCGGAGACGCGGCGGAGAGTGTGCAGCTCCTCCTCGGTGGGCTTGTCGGGCCACCACTCCTCGTCGTCGGAGCTCGAGTTGGCGTCATGACCCTCGAGGGTCTCCTTGAAGGTCTCCTTCTCATGGGAGACGTCGAGGGACTTCTTGCCGGGGTTGCTGCGCTCAGGGTCGGCCAGACCGGCACGGGCGATGACGTCCGTGTCGAGGTTGACGGCGTTGGTCATCTTGGCGACTTTGTTCAGCGATTCTCTACAAATGTCACTTTGTCGAGAACAGTGCAACAGCGCTGTTGTCGTTCCCTTTGGTTGTCACCGAGGATGGGTGATAGGGCAGGTATTAATAAGGGAGCCCAGGGTTGGGGAGAAAGGGATGAAGGGGAAGGAGAAGAACCTCAACGAACGCGTCGAGAGAGGACTTAATATATAGGACGGACTGGACTGGTCCCAGCAAGACGGGGGGAGGGGGGCAAGAGGGAGGGGTCTCACATGAAGACGGCGGTAGCACATGCAACACGATCAGCGCGCCGCCATGCTACCATCAAGAGGATGCCTGGCATTGCCGATGGCATTCCCGCTATGGGACCATGACACAGCTTACAGGATATTGCAGTTTAGGATAGGCCCCGAGCGAGATAAGGCAAGGGATGCGACCACACAGCCGATGAGGTGCAACGTTCTGGGGTGCTCAAGCTTAAGCTCTACAGATACACCACAGGCCAAGAGTGAAAAGGTCTGGCTGGATGGGGAAGGTCGCCCGGAAGGTTGCAAAAGAACCCTGCTCGCTCTCCGGATGCATGGCCAAGCCAGCAACCGTGGTGGGACCCCGGCCGAGACAATCGCCAAAAAGGTTAAAAGTCCCCAGGCCAATCACCTGGCGGCCGTCTTGGCTTTGGGGCCATGTTTCGGTCCTTTTCTCAAAGGCCCAGTGGGGAGCAGGCGAGGATGATGGGGGACCCCGACGTGCTCTCTCTTACTCAGGCATGTGGCGACGAGATAGATTGGGGACAGGCTCCGACAGAGAGGCAGACATTCGGAGGACCCTGTTTTTGATTTTTCCACTTTGGCCTCGATCCAGTGAAATGGGAGTAAGACAGTGAGGGCTCGATGGGCCGTTGTCAGACAACTGGAGATGCATTCCAGAGCGTACCCCCCTGATCCGCATGCAGTGGCACAACCCATCTGGCTTCATGTGCTTGGGCATTTCATCCCCCATAATACATGTACCTACCCTTGGATTGCCTGCCTGGACGGGTAAGATCGAAGATACAAGATGGTGATGCGGTGCAGCAGACTGTCTTGCCCCCCTCGCTTCCACGGCTTCGTATCATCTTCTAGAAGGATGGTGTCCTCCACCCATCCACGGCCAACTGCAGGACTGATCGAGACTAGTCGATCACCCAGAAATGCACAGAATAGAACACCTAGAACAGGAAGTTGAGCATCGCCACCAGTGCGTGGTTGTGAGATGCCGCAGCCAGGGGAGCCCCGAAGAGTTTTTCTCTGGGCGATGGCGCAATCGCAGAGGAACTGGCATCAGACGCGATCCGTCAATTCGAATCGAACCACCACCGGATCCGACAGGCGATGTGCGAGAGAGGACGCTGGGGCACTCGCTCTGGCCACAGCTAGCACCAGGCCACGGCTGACTTCACGCAGAGATCTTTCGTAGCGCGGCTCCTTTCATCAGCTCATGGGCCGAGCAAACTAGCATTAGTCGATCAAGTCCGTCTCTAGTCACGGCGCCAAGATGGAACTTTTTCTGTCGGGCTTCGATGCTCCACCATCCCCATACATTGTCCACACGCTACATGTAAAGTTCCCAGTCAGATAATGCTTAAGCTTCAGCTGACCCCTATCACATTCGCAGGACAGCACAGCACGCATACATACATGCATACATACATGCATACATACTACCTACGGCACCAATGTAAAACAGAGTGTGTGGGTGTCTGTCTGTGCGCTGCTGATCGGTCGTCCAGCCGCACCAGCACAGCCAATCAGTCCCGTCCCGCGATCCCAGCCAGAGGAGGGCTTGGCTTTGCCTCTTCTTACTATGTACACAGGCAGACAGCACGAGAGCAGTGCCCTGAATGAGGCCTAGCCAAACAGTGGCTCGTCGGCTACCCCATCTCCCACGCAGTAGCCCGCGGGACAGGATGGGCGACATCCCCGAAACGGGCGAACTTTTGCAGAGCCGCCATCGCCAAGCCTCCGTGTCTATTACCTGCTGTCGGGTGCTTCCTTAGCAAGATTATGCGCTGTAAGCCGCTGAGGGACCGCACGTCGGTGGCGCCGCGAATACTGTATGCTGGAGTATGTAGGGCCTCCGACTGACCAACCCAACATCATGGCACGCTATCTCAACCGCCGTCTGGTATGGATCAGCCTAGGCAATGACGGCTGTGGCGCCTGATTTCTCTCCTTTCTTTTCTTTGTGAGAGGCGACATCCTGCCGTGTAGCTGCCGTGCTGCCATGAAGCTAGCGCGGCAAAAATGATCCTCCTAATTACACTCATTTCCCTCCGTCGCGCGCGCCTGTGGCAGGTTCCGTGCGAGACAGTCGCAGGCGCACAGCAAGGCATCACAATAATACGTGATGGCAGAAAAGATCAACCGCTTGTGCGTGACATTGCTATCGATACGTCCCAGGTGCAACCAACCAAGACAGGCCCCAATGTAAGCATAAGCAGAATCAACGTGCCGACGCTCACATCCTGCAAAGTGCGAATTTGTCAAGCTCTCCTAGCTCGGCTCCTTCAGTGGACAGTCGCGACGATAATGCACAGGCCCCTTTGCGTCGAAATGCAACCTTCCGGATGCAACCATCGCCCAGAGACGGCCATCCGCCATTGGCTGGTGATAGACTGCTGACGCCGGCCCTTGTCTCATCCAACATACACTCCCCTCCTGTGCAAATATTGGGTGCTTGTCTCTCTTGTTGGTCTCTTGGGCCATGATTTCCCGACTCTGCCCCCGCATTCACATCCGATGGCCTCTACACAGTCGC